TGAGAATTTTTGCATCCGTATTCATCAAGGATATTGGTCTGTAGTTCTCTCTTTTTCCTGGGTCTCTGTCTGGCTTGGGAATCAAAGTGATGCTGGCTTTGTAGAATTAGTCTGGAAGTTTACCTTGGATTTCTTTTCCTTTTGGAATAGCTTGAGAAGAATGGGTATTAATTCTGTTTTAAATGTCTGGTAGAATTCCCCAGGGAAGCCATCTGGCCCAGGGCTCTTATTTGTTGGGAGATTTTTGATCACTAATTCAATTTCTTCACTAGTTATGGGTCTGTTTAGATTTTCTATCTCTCCCCATGTGAATTTTGGTCGTAAGTGTGTGTTTAGGAATTTGTCCATTTCTTCTAGTTTGTCCAGTTTGTTGGCATATAATTTTTCATAGTATTCACTGATAATTGTTTGTGTTTCTGAGGGATTGGTTGTAATAAGTCCATTTTCATTCATGATTTTGTCTATTTGGGTGCTCTCTCTTTTCTTCTTGATAAGCCTGGCTAGAGGTTTTCAATTTTGTTTATTTTTTCAAAAAACCAACTCTTGGTTTCATTGATCTGCTCAAATTTTTAAAAATTCTATATTATTTATTTCTGCTCTGATCTTTTATTTCTTTTCTTCTGCTGGGTTTTGGGTGTTCTTGTTGCTCTGCTTCTAGTTCCTTTAGGTGTGCTGTTAGATTTTGTATTTGTGCTTTTTCTAGTTTCTTGAAATAGGCCTGGAGTGCAATGTACTTTCCTCTTAGGACTGTGTTTGCTGCATCCCAAAGAGTTTGGATTATTTTATTTTAATTTTCAACAACCCTATATTTTTAAATTTCTTCTCTAATTGCCTGGTTGGCCCATTCATTCTTTAGTAAGCTGTTCTTTAACCTCTATGTTTTCAGAGGTTTTCCAGACTTTTTACTGTGATTGATTTCAAGTTACATAGCATTGTGATCTGAGAGTGTGCATGGTATGATCTCAATTCTTTTATATTTATTGAAGGCTGTTTTGTGACCCAGTATGTGATCAATCTTGGAGAATGTGCCATGCACACTTGAGAAGAAAGTGAATTCCATGGCCTCAGGATGTAGAGTTCTAAATATATCTGTCAGATCCATCTGGTCTAATGTGTCCTTCAAGTCCATTGTTTCTTTAGTGATTTTCTGTCTAGTTGATCTATCCATTGCTGTAAGTGGAGTATTAGTGTTCCCTGAAATTAGCATATTCTTATCAATATGACTGTTGATGTTTGTGATTAATTGTTTTATGTATTTGGGTGCTCCCGAATTTGTGCATACACACTTATAATTATCTATGCTTCTCGGTCTTTCGGTCTTTTGGCTAAGATCAAGTGTATAATTGTTAACTCTTCCTAATGGATAGATCCAGTAATTATATAATGCCCTTCTTCATCTCTTATTACTGCCTTAACTTTAAAGTCCAGTTTGTCCAATATAAGTAAGGATACTCCAGCTTTCTTTTGACTTCCAGTAGCATGATAGATATTTTTCCATCCCCTTACTTTCAATCTGAAGGTGTCCTCAGGTCTAAAATGAGTCTCTTGCAGACAGCAAATAGGTGGATCTTGTTTTTTTGTTTTTATCCATTCTGCTACCCTATACCTTTTGATTGGGGCATTTAGTCCATTTACATTCAGTGTTATTATTGAAATATATGGGTTTAGAGTCACTGTGTTCTCTGTAGGATTCATGCTTGTAATGGTGTCTCTGGTACCCCCTGTTCCTTGCAACATTTCCCTCATAGAGTCTCCTTAGGATTTCTTGTAGGGCTAATTTAGTGGTGATGAATTCCTTCAATTTTTTTTGTTTGGGAAAACCTTTATCTCTCCTTTTATTCTGAATGACAGGTTTGCTGGATAATAGATTCTTGGCTGCATATTTTTCCTGTTCATCACATTAAAGATTTCCTGCCATTCCTTTCTGGCCTGCCAAGTTTCAGTAGATAGGTCTGTCACCACTCTGACAGGTTTCCCTTTATGTTCAGGTTCTTTGATCCCTAGCTGCTTTCAGAATTCTCTCTTTGCCCTTATATTTTGCCACTTTTACTATGATATGATCGATTCAAGTTATGTCTGAGGGGAGTTCTCTGTGCCTCTTGGATTTCAATGTCTGTTTCCTTCCCCAGATTGGGGATGTTTTTTGTTATAATTTGTTCTAGTACCCCTTCATTTCCTTTTTCTCTTTCTTCTTCTTCTAGAATTCCTATGATATGGATATTGTTCCATTTGATTGCATCACTCAGTTCTTGAATTCTCCTTTTGTGTTCCTGGATAAGTTTATCTCTCTTTTCTTTAGCTTCTTCTTTTTCTATATTTGTGTCTTCTAATCAACGTATTCTCCTCTCTGTCTCTTCCATCCGTGCATTGGCTGCCTCCATTTTATTATGCACCTTGTTTACAGCATTTTTTAATTCATCACAAGTATTTTTAAGGTCCATAGTCTTTGTAGCAATAGAGTCTCTGGTGTTTTCCATGCATTTTTTCAAGCCCAGCGATTAATTTTATGACAATTGTTCTAATTTTTGGTCAGTTATGTTGCTTATATCTGTTTTGAGTAATTCTTTAGCTATCACTTCTTCTTGGAATTTCTTTAGAGGAGAGTTCTGTTTCATCATTTTGGCTAGCTTTCTGTCTCCTGTAAGTTTTAAAGGCTTGTTATGTGCTCTGCACCTGTGAGTACTGCTATATTAAAGGAGGCTCACAGAGAGGCAAACCATGAGAGACTCTTGAATGCTGACAAAAACTGAGGACTGATGGATCTGGGGGGGAGGGGGGAGGGGTATGGAGGAGGACACTTGTGGGGATGAGCACTGAGTGTTATGTGGAAACTAATTTGACAATAAACTATTTAAAAAAAAAAAAGGAGGCTCACAGACTGTCCATGATCTGTCCATTCAGGAAGTGTTCTATAATGGTGTCCTTTGGTCTCTGTTGTTGAGATTTTGGTTATTTTATTTCCCTACTTACAGTGATATTTGGGACTCTCCACCATGTGTACTTTGGCTTGTTTCCTGAGGTAGCCCTGAGGCTGTCTCCTTAGTAGACTTGGTCTGTTTTCCTCCCAGACTCTTGCAGTTCAGAGTCTTTTGGCTTCAGCCCTTTTTTGTTTGAGAGATGCATGCAGGAAGTACAGAACTCCCTATTTCTCCATCATGTTGCCGTGGTACTAACGATTTATTTATAATTGTTTAGGGTGGATGACAGGTCCCTTAGTATTCATTATACCATTCTGTCTTTTTTATATAAATTTGGACATTTGTATAATTGAAGGTAAAACAGGGGGGCACCTGGGTGGCTCAGTTGGTTAAACGTCTGACTTCAGCTCAGGTCATGAGCTCACAGTTCTTGAATTCAAGCCCCACATCAGGCTGTCTGCTGTCAGCACAGAGCCCGCTTCAGATCCTCTGTCTCACTCTCTCTCTCTTTGTGCCCTTCCCCCTGCACATGCATGCTCTCTCTTTCTCTCAAAAATAAAAACTTTAAAAAATTTAAAAATAACTAGAATTCAATTTTTTAAAAGAGAAGTAAAATTGAATAAATAAGGAAAGTAAAACAGAAAAGTTACTCTCCCTCCTCTCTGGAGGCTGGGCTGCAGGAGACCAAGATGAAAACAGGAAGGGGCATCTGGGTGGCTAGTTGGTTAAGTGTCTGACCAGCTCAGATCATGATCTCATGGTTCATGAGTTTGAGTCCCACATCGGGCTCTGTGCTAAATGCTTGCTCAGAGCCTGGAGCCTGCTTCGGATTCTGTGTCTCCTTCTTTCTCTGCCCCTCCCCCACTCATGCTCAGTCCCACTCTGTCTCTCAAAAATAAATAAATGTAATTTAAAAAAATATGAAATCAGGAAGACTTGTTAGAAAGCTATAGTAATAGTCCTGGTGAGAGAAAAAGACCCGAGTGAAGGCTCCAATATGAGAAATGCAGAAGATAAATATTTAGAAGTAAAACTGAATAGACTTGGTGATTAACTGGTTATGAGGAGAAGCTTGCTGAGTAGGTAGGCATTGGATCCAACAACAAGGATGTAGAATTTCAGAATATGACTCTATTTTTAATGATTGACTGCCTGACCACTTTCAAGTCCTCTTTCTCTTCCAGTCTACATCTGGGCAAGGTGCCAGGAAAATCCGAGTGTTCCCTCCCTTGGTGCTGGTGAGAACCTTTATCCCAGCCTCACCTTTGGATCATAATAAAGCCCCAATACCCCAATTCAGCCTCCTTTCCCTACTCACTTAAAGGTGTGTTTTTTTTTTTTTTTTTTTTTTTTTTTTTTTTTTTTTTTTTTTTTTTTTTTTTTTTTTTTTTTTTTACCAACTTGAATCTGTTCCATTTTCCCCAGAAGTCTCATTATGTGAGTAATGAACATGTTACAGCCTTTTGGTAAATGTGTGGCATCATCAGTCTCAATATCCAAACCAGATTTGGGGGGGGAGTCCATCCTGCCCCTTCAGGTTGATGACTACATGAATAAATGAGGAAGTTCAGGTTATGTTTGGTAGCAGAGGGGGAACTGAGGGACAGGAATGAGCTCCATTTGGGCATACTGTGGGGTACCTACATATAATGTACCTAGCAAGGTTCTGGACAAATAGCAGACACTCAGAAATGCTAGCTTATTTTTTCTGTGAGCCTCTATCTTCTTACTTCTTTTGAGTTTAGAATTTATTTAACTGTGGATTTTTACCAAATTACAGAGGCTTAAAATATCCTTAATAATGATAATAATAGTTGCCAGTTATTGGTCACCTGCTCTACGGCAGGCATTGTATTAGAGACTTTGCAGATACTATATCTTGTTTAATCTTTACAACAGCTCTTTGAGGTAGATGTAATCCCACTTTTATAAATGAGGACAACTGAGGCTTTGAAGTAACACAGTAGGTAGGTGCAAAATTAAAATCCGGGTCAATGAGACTGCAAAACTGTGCTGTATTTACTATGTTATACATCCTCTCTACATGAACATTAAAGTAGATTGATAATATCTATCACTTACTTCATAGTATACAGCATGCAAAGGATGTCAGCTTGCTCCTGTAAGCTGGAGGTTTCCTTCAACTGTAAAACGAGTGCTTTGAAGTCCACCTCCCCAGATTGGTCTCTAGGAAGGTGTATTTCTACACGAACAGAGGGAACCTTTAGTTCGAGAAAGGACAGAAAAACTTAAGTCCACAAGTGTTCAACTTAAATAATGCCCTAGAGTGTCGATCTGATCACCTCTAAACCTTTTCCATAGGAATTCCTTACATTTTGATAGAAAGTAAAACAAAAGCAATGAAATCTTCAACACGAATGATATAGCAATTTCGTTTTCTTAGAGCCTGGCTAGGAAACTCTTGTTCATTTTTATTTATATTTTAATGTTTATTTATTTTTGAAAGAGAGAGAGAGAGAGAGAGGATGCGAGTAGGGGAGGGGCAGAGAGAGAGGGAGACATAGAATCCAAAGCAGGCTCCAGGCTCTGAGCTATCAGCACAAAGCCAGAGGTGGGGCTTGAACTCATGAACTACGAGATCACGACATGAGCCGAAGTCAGATGCTTAACTGACTGAGCCACCCAGGCACCCCAAAGCTTGCTTATTTTAAAAGCGACCTAAAAAGGAGTATATCTTCACCAGGGTAGCATTTTGCCTACCACCAGTTATTAGCAGAAACCATAAGGGGTAGTTCTGTTATTTGTCATACAAATGGCAGTTTTGCAAAGAGCTGACAGAAATACCTCATATGCAAGTTTACCTGGTCCTCTCGTGGGCAATGAGGAGAGTCAAGTAAGCTCAATGAAGGCCGGGAAGCCTGAAATATCTTTGTAGGAAGATACATGTGAACATCTGCAAGAGGTTGACATTTATGGGAAAGGTTAGATAACTTAGGAGACTAGAAAACAATTCACAGTTGCCCTCAAAATCAAGTTACATAGGAGTTGTTCTTTATAGAACAAGAGTGAGAAATTTATCCTTTCTCACTAATATCAAAGAAAAGAAATATGAATATCAGATAAAGATTGTTCAATCAACCATATTTTCCATGGAATGCCTAGAATTGTAGCATTAAATGGACATTTAAGATATTCAATTCTATGAATGTAATCCATACCAAAATGGTTCTATCACTGACACTTTGATCAAATACCATATATAACAGAAAGAACCCAGTGCTATTTTCTATTTTCTGGACTATCCTGGGAAAATACCTGGCTGTCAGCAGTTGAATTTCCTTGAGCATTGGGAAACGGATGTTTAACCCTATGTAGGGAATAAAAAAAATGTAGTGGCTGACCTACTTTGAGATATTCCTAATATTTTAATTTATAGTCCAAATACTTACCATAACCTCAAAGGAGAGCTATCTTGTCACTTTCACCATTTTACAGGTATAGAAAGAGAGATACAGAGCTCAAATAACTGTTCAAGCAAGTAAGTAGCAGAGCTGGGAATTAAGCTCAAGTTTCCTGGTTCACAATCTAGAAGTAGAACTTAGGAGAGTTGATCTCTTCACATGAACCCTTGGTCAAAGAAGCATACTCAAAGGGTATGCTAAGCTTTTCCCTCTTCTGATTGTTAAATGATTCATGTTTAATATCTTTGGTTAGTAATAGTCAATAAGGTTTTAGACAGCAAAAACATGCACCTCAATAATTCTCATCATCTGTAAAATGTTACCATTTAAGTCCTTTTGGTGTGGCCAAGGAGCCCTTCTGTCCCTTCAGATGCAGCTACCACAGAGACACTGAGTACTATTAGGAACCATGACTCCTCCTAGCAATGGGTGATTGGCGACATGCTTCACTGCACATATTGGAGGTAGTGGTCATGGGGAGGACAATGACAGTGTTGAATAAGGAGTACTGCAGTTGAGAAACAAACACAACTCTTACGCTGTTGGAACAACTGACTGTAAATGTCACAGCTGACGTAAGGGAACTAGATACAGCTTACTTAAGGGCATATATCTCCCTCTCCATTTCCAGGTTATCTTGTAATCCTCGTAGAGCTTTCTCTTTAAATAAAAGTGCTCCCAAAGGAGTAGCTTTTCAAAGGAAAAAAGTCTTTTCATCACTTTAATACTGATGTTAAAATTCTCCAAGTCTCCTGTTCTGCCTCTTCTCACTATGTAATGGTTAAACCAGACCACACAGCACCATCAATGGCAAAACTATACGCAATTTACTAAATTTACAAATATTTTAGTGTCTAATATGTTCCGTCTGTCTAAAATGCTGGGGATAAAGCAGTGAACAAAACAGAGTTCCTGCTTGCACTGCTAATAAACTCCCCGCCCCAATCCTGGGCTTCACGTCAATCCTGTGCCTGACTCCAGTGAGTCATGGCATTACTCACTCTGTACATGCAGCTCCTTGGCCTTGGTCACCAAGGACATTAAATCGCAGGTTGTTTGCACAGCAGCTCGGAGCCGATCTAGCCCTCCCTTCTGTGAGGTGAGAGCTAGTTTAGGATGGGGAGCAGTGTGCGCCAAAAGGTGATCTAAATAGTGAGCAACTTCATCACCACAGCGAGCTGCAAGGTTAGTGGGGGTAGGGGGAAGAGAAAAAAAATGAACATTTTAGTTACTTCACAATCTACCCTACCAACCAGAATGATTGGCTCCTGTGCCCATAACACAGCATCAGAAGTAGGTTGTTTTAGATCATGGCAGGGGCGGGGGTGGGGGGGAAGCTTGTGGTCATTTTACAATCTCATAGCTTTACCATTTAGAAACTATGGCCATTTACCGGGACCCACCTGTTCTTCAACTTTGCTTAGACAATATTAGGACCTCTGAAAGCAGTATTAGCTTTTTTAAGGACAGGTGGAGCAAGGATTTCATAATCCTTGTGTTCACACGTATATGTCAACATGATGGTAGTGGGATGGTAGTGGTGGTGGAAGAGGAGCAGAATGGGGGCCCTTGGAGTCTCACTGGTGTGAGGAAACTTTTGTGAAAAAAAGCAAAAATCTTCCACTAGACACCGAGCCTCACTGAAAACAGACAAATTCCATAAGTGGCAGCAAAATTTGCTAAGGGAAAAACAATTTCCATGTGGTACTGGTGTCAAAAGGACTACTGGCCACATATTGGTCCTTTTAGTCACCATATTCATATATTCACCAAATATTTCTTGCCTACTCAGTACTAGGTGGTATACTAGCTGCCGAGGTTTCAGTGGTGAAGGAGGCAGATACGGTCCCTATCCTCTTGGGCTCTCTTTCTCCCACTCACCTCCTATAACATTATTCCTAACTATGGATAATGAAAACAAAACACATACACAGACCTCATGGATCCTAACGTTTCAGACTTCGCATGAATATTCACAACATTTATAGTAGGAAAAGCACAGTATTTGGATTCATACTAAAATCTGCTAGGTCAGTTATTCATCATCTGGTTTTTGAGCATCTTCAGTGATCTCCCCAGATGTTTTTCTGTATTATGATGTGATCAATGAAAAATAGCAAAGCTGTAAAAATGGAACTCATTTCAGTGACATCCTAATGACAAATATTATATAACCTTGAATACGATATAGATACTTGAGTGGAGGATTATGTAGAATATGGAGGGAAGTGTTCTTGACATGGAAGAGCTGCCAAGTGATAAACACGATAAACTTTGTGAGACCACCTATGAGTAAATCCAGAGAGGACAAAGTGACTTAGAATGCACAATATCAAATTTAGTAATATATATATCATTAAAAAGTTGTGTTTTAGAAAGTAATCTAAGAGAATGAGTGCTAGAGATGAAAGTCCCAACTACCCATAGAATAGCAAACAACCTCAATATATGATTATTCTTGTCTGGTTTTCAAAGTATTTGTTTATGCCAAGATAGATATCATGACTTTGGTAATTATTAATAACAGGAAATAACCTTGTATTAATGTATTTTTCTAAGGAAGAAATTCACACTATTTTAGATCTTACAAAAACAAATGCAGAGTGAATTCAATGGTACTTAGGTGAGTAAATGTTGAGCCCAAACAAGAAATCATCCTGACTGCTGATGTGTTGCGTATGTTGGTCTATTGCATATGAGATAATGTTTTCAACCTCACTAAGGAAAGCCAATTTATTATTTTCTTTTCTCTAACACACCACTCTTAGAATAAAGAAACTGGATGCCTTAAGATACAGGCTAACAGTCAAAGATACAGACAATGAAAGCAGGCAAACCATATTTTAGATAGAAGAACAATTTGCTCCTATTGGCCCTTCTCTCTTTGGGATTCAAACAATGTAATTCTGGCCCCGCCTAGGTTAGCATTTTAACACGTTAGGGTGTTTCTCAGCTATTTTAAATATATGCCACCATGATGTTTTCTCACTATAGCATCTTTGTATTCCTAACAGCCAGTCAGATTTGTTGTGCTTTATTTGTCTAGTTTGTAATATGAAAGCAATAGGCACACTGAATAGGTTTTTTTTTCAAGCTATGCAGACCTCCCCAGAGATTCTGTGCCCCAATAACATTATACATAAAAAGTACTCTGAGATTCTTAGTTTTATGCTTTTAAGTATCAAAAAGCAGTACTGTATAGGGGCGCCTGGGTGGCTTAGTCGGTTAAGCGTCCGACTTTCGCTTAGGTCATGATCTCACGGTTCGTGGGTTCGAGCCCCGCGTCGGGCTCTGTGCTGACTGCCAGCTCAGAGTCTGGAGCCTGTTTCAGAGTCTGTGACTCCCTCTCTCTCTGACCCTCCCCTGCTCACGCTGTCTCTCTCGCTCTCTCTCTCATAGAAATAATAAAAATAAAACATTAAAAAAAAGCAGTACTGTATAATTATCCTTATATATGCTTAATTAAATACCTCTCACTCACCACTGTTTCCTTTCATTTTGAAATCACCAGCCATTTTTTATACCCAGGAGAAAAGTCTTCCCTAACCTTAGTAAGAGATAGTCAAAATCCATTCTCCATAATCACCACAGGGATATTAGACCAGGAACCAAAGGTAAGTAGAAGGATAAAGAGTGAAGCCAAACAGAAGTAGAAACCTAGGTGTATTAAATAGGTGTGAGGCTGCTGGTAGTGAGAAATATTAAGGAGGATGCTCAACAATACTTTGTATTCTTGGCCCAGCAAGGCCACTGCCTTTATGAAGCTTCCTTACCATTATTAGTTGAACCGTAGCCATTCATCCAGTCACCAGGTTCCAGCTCATTATAGTTATCGTCATAATCTTCACTGTACAGCTTACCCTCAGGTCCAGGATCCATGAAGCTCAAATGTGTGCAGCAAGATGTTGTCAAAAACTCTGACAATTTACCTGTTTGAATCCTGATAATTACAGGGCAAACAGAAAACAGAAAACCAGAGGAAATCCTTTTAAAACAACACATTTCAGTTTAAAAAAAAAAAAAAGGCTACCTAGACTGTTTGGTTGGAGGACTCATAATGTTTATATAATAGTATAAATTTTGTCAATATGAAATTTCATAGCACTCCTAGGCATGGTGTAGTGTCGGTTAGGGTACTGTGTTAATAAAGACTACAGTTATGGGTTCACAATCTATCAGCAGATCAGTTTGTTCTCTTTCACTGCCATATACTATGCTGCTAATGATGTCAAGTATCTGGCCAAAATTTCTATTGGCTACAGAGAATCTGGGACAGAATGAAGAGAAATCATCATAAATCTATCGCATCATTAAAAAAAAAAGGATTCAAAGATCATTTAAATTTTTTTTAATTTTAATTTTTTATTTTCCTTAGTATGTTTTTTTAAACTTTAAATTCAAGTTAGTTGACATACAGTGTAGTCTTGTCTTCAGGAGTAGAAGCCAGTGATTCATCTCTTACATATAACATCCAGTGCTCATCCCAAAAAGTGCCCTCCAGCCATTTAGCCATTAATGCCCATCAGCCATTTAGACCACACCCCCTCTTTCCCTCCAGCAACCCTGTTTGTTCTCTATATTTAAGAGTCTCTTATGGTTTGCCTCCCTCTTATTATCTTATCTTGCTTTTCCTTCCCTTCCCCTATGATCATCTGTTGTGTTTTCCAAATTCCACATATGAGTGAAATCATAGGATCCGTCTTTCTCTGACTGACTTATTTTGCTTAGCATAATACATTCTAGAGAGATCAAAGATCATTAAATTTTTAAATGTTTCTTTTTTAATTTTTTTATGTTTTATTTATTTCTGAGAGGGAGAGAGAGAAACAGCATGAACAGGGGAGGGTCAGAGAGAGAGGGAGACACAGAATCCGAAACAGGCTCCAGGCTCTGAGCTAGCTGTCAGCACAGAGGCCAGTGTGGGGCTCGAACCCATGAACCGTGAGATCATGACCTGAGCTGAAGTCGGACGCTTAACTGACTGAGCCACCCAAGTGCCCCCAAATGTTTCTTTATTTAGTTTTGAGACAGGGAGAAAGCTGGAAAGGGGCAGAGAGTGTGGGAGAAAGAAACCCCAACTACGCTCCACACTGTCAGTAGAGACCTGATGCGGGGCTTGAACTCACAAACCATGAGATTATGACCTGAGCCAAAACCAAGGGTCAGATGCTCAACCAATTGAGCCACCCAAGTACCCCTAAAGATCATTTTGAAAATCAAAGAGGGTATTTGAAAATTTTATGAATTATGGAGAATTGTAGGCCATATCCTCCCCTGTCTACAAAACCAATTGCAAAACCTGAAGGGAAAGTCATTAGTACTGATTTTCTAAAAAACACAGCTTGGGACCACCTGGGGCTGCCACCAACAACCTGTACGTATTCCAGGACAAAATCAACTGAGGAAGCTAGTGTAAGGACTGATTCTGGTTGTTTTTTCAGAGAAAGGATGTTATCTTTTCACTGAAGAGCAGTGACGCATTTTCCTCTTCCCTTCACAGACTGGAGAGGCTGGCCTTCTGCCTTCAGTGAAGTGAGTCACATTGCTGCTCAAGTGAAAAACCCACTCAAAGCAGAATTGATGGACAGTGCTCAATAAAGGCCATTACTCAAAACAGATGTAAAAAAAGAAAAAAAAAAGCCAGTTTGACGGGGCTCCCAATGGCCAGACCTTGGATAATTTGAACACCGAAACAAGCAATGACAGGAATGGAGCATGGCATATTGAATAATATCAGAATTAATGAATCTATGCTGACACTAAAATGACAAAATAAAAGGGGATAAGGGGAAGCTCTTTTTAAAATTTCATCGGAAAAAATTTTTTTTGAAAGAGTGAGAGAGTGTGTGCACACACGCATGAGCAGAAGAGGAGCAGAGGGAGAGGGAGAGAGCTTAGCATGGAGCCTGACACGGGGCTCGATCCCATGACTCTGGGATTATGACCTGAGCCAAAATCAAGAGTTGGTCGCTTAACCAACTGAGTCATCCTGGCACCGCAGAAAGCTCTTTTATAATTTTTAATTTTTAAATGTTTATTTATTTTGAGACAGAGAGAGAGAGAGAGCGCACAAGGGTGGGGAGGTGCAGAAAGAGAGGGAGACACAATTTGAAGCAGGCTTCAGGCTCTGAGCTGTCAGCACAGAGCCGGATGTGGGGCTCGAACTCACAGACCATGAGATCATAACCTGAGCTTCTGAGTCAGAAGATTTACCAACTGAGCCACCCAGGCACCCCAAGAAAGCTCTTTATTTAAACAGAAGGATTCTAATTAATAAATATGCACAGAATGATAGAAACACAGAATCATCACTTTAAAACCCGACTAGTAGTGACTGATTCAGCAATGTAAGATAAGAGTGTTTGGTTAAAGACTGTCATAGAAAGGATAGGAGAAACTTAGCAGATAATGCTTTAACCAAATTAAAAGACATTCTGCAATATAAACTGACCTTCTGTCTTTAAAATTGTGTTGAAACTGTCATGAAATATCCACAAAAGGCTGGGGAATTATTCTAGATTAAAAGACATCAAGGAGATATAATAACTAAATGCCAATATGTGATCTTTGATTGCATCCTAGAGCGGGGGAAAAAAGCTATGGGAAAAAAACATTATTAGGACAATTGGGTAATTTTGAATATGGATGCTATATTAGGCAAGAGTACTGTATCAATATTAAATTTTGTGAAGTGTGATGATTATATATCAGCCATGTGTGAGAAAACCCTTGTTCTTTTTTTTTTTTTTTTTTTACAAATAGTTTATTGTCAAGTTGGTTTCCATATAACACCCAGTGCTCATCTCCACAAGTGCCCTCCTCCATGCCCATCTCCCCCCTCCCCCCAACATCCATCAGTCCTGTTTGTTTCTCAGCATTTAAGAGTCTCTCATGGTTTGCCTCTCTCCCTTTCCCCCACCATTTCCCCCCTTCTTCTCCCCCATGGTCCTCAGTTAAGTTCCTCCTAATCCTCCTATACGTGCAAACATGTGATATTTGTCCTTCTCTGCCTGACTTACTTCGCTCAGCATAACACCCTCAAGGTCCATCCATGTTGCTACACATGGCCAGATTTCATTCTTTCTCATTGCCATGTAGTATTCCATGGTATAGATAAACCACATCTTCTTGATCCATTCGT